TACGTAGTTGTATATTCTAATTGTAGGTTCTTCTGGTTGTGCTATGTGGGAGGCCGCCTCAGCATGGCTTAGATGAATGGTGCCATGTCTGTGTCCAGGATCCAAACCAGCAAAACCCTGAGCTGCAGAAACAGAGGGTGTGATCTTAACCACTTGGCCATGGGACCAGCCCCTGATATGAATGTTTTATTTATAAGTTTCCCTCTACACACTGTTTTAGCTGAGTCCCACAAATTTTGCTATGTCATGTGTTCCTTTTCATTCCAGTCAAAATACTTTCTAATCTCCCTTGTTATTAGTTTCCAAATATTTAGGGATTTTTCAGATATCATTGTGTTACTGATTTCTAACTTAATTCCAACATTTAGAAAACATTTGTTTTATTGTTTGAATTTTTTTTACTAAGATCTTTATTAACAGGTGCTTGCAGTTTTTTGAAAATATCCAGTTGTAAGCTTTTATCACAAATTAAAAGTGAGGTTCTTAAAAACCTAACTCGACCAGATATTGTAAGTGCATATAAGTGAGACCATCTTGTTATGCTAAATGGCCCTCCACCCCTTCTGTGTGACTGCTCGCTGCTCTGCACGTACTCTAAAATAATTCACAAGCTCTCCTGATGTATGGCTTCTCTTTATGGATGTATTCCCCTAAGTCTTGGTACATTAAAACTTCATTCTATGAGTTTCTCTCTAGGAATGGGCTGACCACAGGCAGGAAACACACCTGCAAGATATTAATCATCACTGACAGGAGAAAAGGACAATGAAAGACCCTAGAGCCCCTCATACCTGGAGACCAACATCCCTGGACCCCCTCCTCACTGCCCATTTTCCCTAGATAACTACCTCAAGGTTCTGTAATTTCCGGAGATGGTTTTTTTGAGACGTTAGTCTGCCATCTTCCTGCTTATGCTGGCTAATCGAGTTAAAACTTCCTTTCTTTATCCCTAACTCATTGTGATTAATTGGCTCAGATCACAGCAGCAGAGTGAGCCCATTGCTCAGTGTCAATATGAAATAATTTTAAACCTTTTAAAGGTGTATTGAGAAAAACTAGGCTTTTAAAAACAAAACAAAACATGATTATCATTACCAAAAAGAGACGTCGTTAGATAAAATACTGAAAGTGCCATGCTGCATAGATGATGCAGATGGTTCTAGTTATCTGGTCAATGGGCAAAAAGCAAGCACTTCAGGTCTTCAGCTCTGATCTTTTGTTCTTCTCTTGTTCCTGGAATTTCATACTCATTCCTTCCTGTCGGCTGACCAGACCCGCTGGTGGTGGCGATGGAGAGCCTGCATCTGCCTGGCTGGTGGTGAAGATGGAGAGCCTGCATCTCCCCGGCTGGTGGTGGCGATGGAGAGCCTGCATCTCCCCGGCTGGTGGTGGCGATGGTGAGCCTGCATCTCCCCAGCTGGTGGTGGCGATGGAGAGCCTGCATCTCCCCAGCTGGTGGTGGCGATGGTGAGCCTGCATCTCCCCAGCTGGTGGTGGCGATGGAGAGCCTGCATCTCCCCAGCTGGTGGTGGTGATGGTGAACCTGCATCTCCCCAGCTGGTGGTGGCGATGGAGAGCCTGCATTTCCCCGGCCTGCCCGCTCAGCCTCGGGAGGGGAAGGACTCTCAGCTGGGGGAGCAGCTGCTTTTGTCCCTTTGCCATCTTGTTCTTTGGGATTTTCTTGGCGTCTGTGTTGGTCATTAAAGGTGCTCATGTTGAGGTGACTGCTTACATTAGGTCTCATCTCCTTGGTTTTCCTGACCTCCATGACCACCTTCTCTGGGCCGTCTTTGGCGAGGAGGGCTCCTGCGGAATTGTGGTCTATACCCCGATACAGCTTCTGTCTCACTGGTCTGCCTTGTTCTCCTGCACCCTGGTTGTCAGTCCCCTCCATCACTTCTCCCTACACAGGAGGGCTGGAACACTGTGCTTGTCACCCATAGCGTCTCTGCATGTAGTAAGGTGGGGACCAAGGCCCGCATGTGGTCGGGTTGGCACTGTGGGGCCTGGCCTTCAGGAGCATTCTCTGATCCCTCGTTTTTTCTCGCTCTCACTATTCTGGTAGTTCTGCTGGTGGGTGTGTGGAGGACCCCTGTGACGTG